GGGGGACATGCCTATCTCAAGCAGTAGGGGCGCTGTGGCCCCACCGCACATCAGCCCACATCAATGTTTTGGAGTGTCGCACAGTGCTGAATGTGATTCAACATTTTGCTCCCGTGCTACAGAATAAACACGTGTTGATTCACACAGACAACATGGTGACTGCTGCGTACATAAACCGCCAGGGGGGTGTGTGTTCAGCCCAGATGCTACACATTGCGCGGAAGCTACTGTGTTGGGCTCACCAAAACCTGCTTTCCATCAGAGCGGTTTACATACCCGGCGTTCTGAACAGAGGAGCAGACGTGATGTCCAGGGGCGGCCCACGTCACGCGAACTGGACCCTCCATCCAGACCTGATGTTTCAGACGTGGCAGAAGTTTGGCAAAGCAGCTGTGGACCTGTTTGCGACGCGAGAGAACGCTCAGTGCCAATTATGGTTTTCCCTGAGCCCACGAGACGATCCACCGCTGGGGGTGGATGCATTTGCCCACAGCCCGTGGCCCAAAACGCTTCTGTACGCGTTCCCCCCTCCTCCTCTGATTTTACGGTTCCTGAACCGAGTTCAGGAGGAGGGACTGACAGCTCTCCTGGTAGCTCCCGAGCGCGTGAACGCACCATGGTTCCCAGTCCTGCAGCGTCTGTTGTCAGGTCGCCCGTGGAAACTGCCATGGAGGGAAGATGCTCTCCTTCAAGCAGGAGGAGCGATCAGGAGTTACCCGGAAATAGGCCAGCACCTGTGGGTCTGGCCGCTGAGCGGTCCCGCTTAGAGAAGATGGGTCTCCCTCAGGAGGTAGTGCACACAATTCAAGATTCACGCGCTGCATCTACCACAGCCCTGTACACATCAAAGTGGACGGCTTTTCAGCGCTGGTGTACAGAGAAAGGTCTGGAGGCCACCTCATGTCCATTAGGTGGCGTGCTGTCCTTTCTTCAACAGCTGATGGATAGGAAGTTGGCATTCAGCACAATTAAAACGTACGCTGCAGCCATCTCTTCCTGCCACGAAGGGTTCGGAGACAGAACAGCTTTTAATCACCCGCTGATGAAGCGGTTTCTAAAAGGTGTACAAAGACATAGGCCGGTTTCACGCCCACTCGTTCCACAGTGGGATTTAACGTTGGTCCTGCGAGCCCTGATCAAGGCTCCTTTTGAGCCTCTGGATCAAGTTTCACTTAAATTCTTGTCTCTTAAAACAGCCCTGCTGCTGGCTTTAACATCCGCTAAGAGGGTGAGTGATTTATCGGCCCTCTCTGCCGCTCCGTCATGTCTCAGAATCCAGGCTGACGGTAGTTCAGCTGATTTAAGACCAAACCCAGCCTTTATGCCTAAAAGCATCACGAGCTCTTTTAAATCGAGACAGATATCGTTGGAGGGATTCTTCCCTCCCCCCCACAGATCAGAAGAAGAAGCATCTTTTCATCTTCTCTGTCCGGTGCGGGCGTTATCGTGTTATATAGCGCGCACAGCTGCAATGCGTCAAACTCAACATCTGTTTGTGCATTATAGAGATGCATCCGCAGGCCGCCCGTTATCCACCCAGCGCTTGTCACACTGGCTGTGTGAGGCCATTTCTGAAGCCTACAGAGCATCAGATCTAGAGCCTCCTGTCAATCTCAAAGCACACTCAACCAGGGGTATCGCATCTTCGACTGCTCTGCATAATGGTATGTCAATGCAGGACATTTGCACTGCGGCTGCATGGTCAACACCCTGCTCATTTATTCGCTTTTACCTACGTGATGTAACGGCTCGTTCCATGACACATTCTGTCCTTAGTGCTCTAACAGAATGAATATTGTTGTTCTCATGGAACTCTGTTTAAGCTCACATCTGTCTGCATGCATTACAGTGTGAGATGTTGTTATCAGCCACAAGTTGTGTCTGTGATTTTGGTTCTATTGTCACTAATCAGTTCATGACTATTGTTACCAATCAGTTCATTGTTCAATAATCAGTTCATTGATATTAATCTGTTTATATTGTTCAATCATGAATCAGTTGCTTCATGCCCCCCCCCTCCTCCTCTTTTCAATATCTTCCCCGTTGAAGTTTTTTTCCGGGGCATTCATGCTTTGTCAGAACGCATAGTTGCACAACATGCGTCTGTGCAGGGCACACAATTACGCGATGCGTAGTTATGCACATGGGGAGCTGAGTGACAAGACGTTTTTTGGGCAAGCTTCCGCTTCTTACTGTGTTCGAATGGACCCAGTGAGGCGAGGACCACATCCGCTTCGCCCTTAACCCACTAAGCGACAGCCTTAAAGGGCGAAGCCTATATGAAATAGAACGTTGGTTACGTACTGTAACCCCAGATTCTATGAATATAGGCGTAGCCCTTTAAGCGTCGGGCCTCACTGGCTCCTGAATAGCTGAAGAAAAAGAATAAGCTATTTGGGAGCAGATTACCCGCTCTTAATGTAATTTATACGGATCGGGCCCACACAGCAGGTGGGCGTGGACTAATTTTTTCAGTATGATGCTTGCGCATAACGGGATAAACCCACTAAGCGACAGCCTTAAAGGGCTACGCCTATATTCATAGAATCTGGGGTTACAGTACGTAACCAACGTTTGTGCGAGGTGTTTTTTTTATTATTAGAGGGGGTTTTTTTTCCTCAGGCAGGAAAAAAAAGTCCGATAGGAATTTTTTCACCTCCAACTCCTACATGTGTCCAGTTAACCACTGTTTTTAGTCTGTCCAAACAGGTCTCACTTGTAAATGAGTCTTTGAGGCTCAATGTGATTTATCTGTTTAAATAAAGGTTGAATGAATGAATGATGATGATGACAGAGAGATTCAACCACCTCATAACAAATGATGACCGTTCAAGAAGAGGTATTGTTATTTTATTATTATTATTTAATTAACTTAACTTTTTTTAAATTATAATCATTAACTCAGGTTTTTTTTTTTTACTTCTTTGTGTTGTTTCCAGTCTGAGGATGTCACTGAGTTCCTCTTCAGGGAAATCATTCACCAGAGATCACCTCCAGCTGAGAAGTCTGTGATGACTGCACTCTGAACTTTTCCAGGGACAGGTGGGAAGTAGCAGGTCCAAGAAGAGGTTGTGAGTACAGAGCTTCAGGGTGCCCTTCCCTTGAAGATGACCCTCTTCTTTGGTGGAAATTCAATGAGGCCAAATTCAGCCACACTGCAAAATTAGCAAAGCTCTACCTCTTTATTCCTGCCACTGTTGCTAGTGAGCGGTTTTCTCCACCGCTGGAGATATTCACTGAAACTAGATCTGTGCTTTTGGCAGAAAAAGTGGACAAGTTTGTCTTTTTGGCCAAAAACTTAAAACTTGATTAGTTAGATTGTAAATGTTTGTTTGCTGCTTATTGTTTTGGTTCTGGCTGTTATTGTATTTATTAAGATTTTTATTATTGTTACAATCGTTTATTTATTGTAAAGAGTGACGTTTATTTAAAATATCGTCCAAATGGGTCGCTTTTATTTATTTTTATACAAATGTATTGTTTACTTGGCATAGTTTCAAAATAAACATTTTGTAAGTCTTTATTTTGGACTTTTTTTTTACCAAAAATTCACCAAACCGAGCCCTCCTTGAAACTGAACCGAACCGAAGTATCCAAGCACATTAATAGAGAGGCGAAGGGAAGGAAAAGATGTGGTACAAAAAAGTGTACAAGCAATAAGGATAACCACACCCTGGAGAGGATTGTGAAACAAAACCCATTCCAAAATGTGGGGAATATTCACAAAGAGTGGACTGCAATTGGAGTCAGCGCTTCAAGAACCACCATGCACAGACGTATGCAAGACATGTGTTTCAGCTGTTGCATTCCTTGTGTCAAGCCACTCTTGAACAAGAGACAGTGTCAGAAGCGTCTTGCCTGGGTCTGCTGCTAAGCTGTCCAAAGTTATGTTTTCTGATAAAAGTACATTTTGCATTTCCTTTGGAAATCAAGGTCCCAGAGTCTGGAGGAAGAGAGGAGAGGCACAGAATTCATGTTGCTTGAGGTCCAGTGTCAAGTTTCCACAGTCAGTGATGGTTTGGGGGCCATGCCATCTGCAGGTGTTGGTCCACTGTGTTTTCTGAGGTCCAAGGTCAACACAGCATCTACCAGGAAGTTTTAGAGACTTCATGCTTCCTGCTGCTGACCAACTTTATGGAGATGCAGATTTCATTTTCCAACAGGACTTGGCACCTGCACACAGTGACAAAGCTACCAGTACCTGGTTTAAGGACCATGGTATCCCTGTTCTTAATTGGCCAGCAAACTCACCTGACCTTAACCCCATAGAAAATCTATGAGGTGTTGTGAAGAGGAAGATGTGATACACCAGACCCAACAATCCAGAAGAGCTGAAGGCCACTATCAGAACAACCTGGGCTCATCACACCTGAGCAGTGACACAGACTGATCGACTCCATGTCACAACACATTGCTGCAGTAATCCAGACAAAAGGAGCCACAACTAAGTATTGAATGAAGTACATGCTCATACTTTTCATGTTCATACTTTTCAGTTGGCCAACATTTCTAAAAATCCTAATTTTTATTATTGTTAATATTCTAATTTTCTGAGATACTGAATTTGTGGTTTTCATTAGTTGTCAGTTATAATCAACATTAAAAGAAATAAACATTTGAAATATATCAGTCTGTGTGTAGTGAATGAATATAATATACAAGTTTCACTTTTTGAATGGAATTACTGAAATAAATCAACTTTTTCATGATATTCTAATTTTATGACCAGCACCTATAGTAAGTATTCAAAGGTGTGACAATCAGGGTTTAAACTTTTCATGTTTTACTGTATGAACACATATGAGATCATATTATTGTGAATCCATTGAAGTTAAATATCAAAATTAATTAAAATTAAATCAAATCTTGTTTCATTGTAAAAGTTTTTCATCATTTTGGAGAGTCAGATTCTTCTTCACAGCTGCTGCTGGTGAATATCTGATCACTCCAAGTGTTCAGATTCAGTCATGGGAGCCTGGACGTGTCTGTCTTCTCTGCAGGACGGCTGTGCAGCTGAGCCGTCTCACCACCCCCAGCTGGACACAGACATGGAGGCAGTCAGGACTCTGTACTCAGACTCTGCTGTCTCTGTCAGGTGAGTGTCTCTTTTTACCAGATCGCCCAGTTTATGTTTAAGCAAAGTATCTCTTTTTTTTTTTTTAATCATTGCGTCCTTTTCTCCTATTAGAGAGTATCCATCAATTGACGGGGTGGACGTCGACTTAAATATTAACACCAACTTTCTGGATGTAAGTTAAACCTACGTTACTAGGAAATATTGTACTTGTTTGATCCATTTATTTATCTTAACTGTATTCCTCAGAAATTGTTTCTTTACACTTTTTCAAAAGATAATTTAGTTCTGAGTTGCTTAGATTTCGTACGTCAGCAGTTTGATACATTTATTTGTTGTATAAAACACCAAACCTTCTTTCCGTTACTGATTTTAATATTATATAAGAAAGGCAGCACAATTTAGGAAATGTTTGATCAATAAAAGAACATGATCTGTAAAAACGACCCCGAGAGGAAATGTAAAAATAATATTATTTTTGTTGAAAATATTAAAGTTAGATTTTTGTATTTACCATAAGCAGCTTCCTAAAAATACATGCATTCCAAAAGTCATAAAAACAAACTTTTACATGCAATAAGGCATCAAACAAAGGAAAAACTAGATAAATCTAGTTTGTTTGTTTTTTTTTTTGGGGGGGGGGGGGCAGCACGTGCGAAAAACATCCATCCATCCATCCATTATCTTTACCCGCTTATTCCATTTTGGGTCACGGGGGTCGCTGGTGCCCATGTCCAGCAGTCACTGTGCGAGGGGCGGGGTACATCCTGGACGGGTCGCAAGTCCATCACAGGGACACATAGAGACAAACAAGACAAACAACCATTCACTCTCTCACTCACACCTAGGGACAATTTAGAGTTACCAATCAGCCTAACATGCATGTTTTTGGTCTGTGGGAGGAAACCGGAGTACCCGGAGAAAACCCACGCATGCACGGAGAGAACATGCAAACTCCACCCAGAAAGGCCCCTGGACCGGGATTTGAACCAGGGACCTGCTCGCTGAGAGGCAGCAGCTCTACCAGTTGTGCCACCGTGCTGCCCTCAAATGAAACAGTAAAGTTAAAAGTAAAAGTAGTAAATACATTTTTGTTGTTTTTTTTAAACATCCGTATTTTGTGTGTATTTCAGACTATTATAAATTTACATTTATGAAAGCATTTGATAAATGAATATCTATTTAATTTTACTCCTGTTTTCCACTAAATTGTCAAAGTTCTTTTAAAAAGCTACCATGTCTGAGCGTTACAGTAAAACTGCTGTGAAAGAAGCAAACAGTGGAGTCATTATTACATTTCCAAAGACTGGTTGTCTGGTTTTATTGTAGCTGTTTGTCCTTTGGCTGCTCTCTTCTTCAAGAGTTGCCACAGTTGGCAAACTCGTACAAAACATTTAATAATTGTCTGATATCAGACGCCCTTCCTGACGCAACTTTGGCATCTATTATGCGTCATCGCTGATGGGTCGTGTTTATTACGCGTCACCACTGACAACCTGGAAACATGGGCTGGTGTTGTGCCAAAAATAGATTGGCTGACAAATGGCGGGAGCGTGTACGGGAGGACTTTAACAAGAATTTAACAAAATTCACACTTAAAAACAATTATTTGTTTACTCTAAATTAGGGCCGGACGATATGGCCAAAACTTTTATCACAATATATCTCTTAATTTCGGTTGATAACGATATAATTCGATATTGATATAAACAATATAAAAGCCTCAGAGAAACTACAAACTATACAAATAAATTAATGTTCACCTTTTATTTGTATTTAGCCTTAAAAAAAATTGAAATCACTGTCAAATAAACATAAAATTCTCAACTTTGTCAATATTAATAGTTTTAACTTTAAACAACAACTTTAAAATTGAAAGCATTGTTTGAAATAAAATCTTTGGGTGTCGTTATTGATGAAAAGCTGATGTGGAAATCTCATGTAAAATACTTAAAAATAAAAATAATAATCAATTGCATTACTGTATAAAGTAAAAGAGTTTTTGAATGACAAAGCTTTGTATATATTGTATAATGTAATGATTGTTCCATATTTAATCTATTGTATTGAAGTTTGGAGAAAAGCATGCAAAACAATTACAAACCCTACTTTTATTTTTTTACAAAAAAAGAGCTATAAGAATTATTAGTATTATGAAGTGCTATGGTCACCCAACAAATATATTATTTCATCAATTGAAATTATTAAAATGTTATGATTTGGTTGAATATAGTATTTTATAAGTCCTGTATAAAGCTCATAAAAATATTAGCCCCAAATATTCAATTAAAATTTGTAAAAAATAAATGTAAAAAAGGGAGAGTCAATATAACTTAAAGGAATGTAAATGTTTGTAAAACCTCCATTTAGAACTAGTCTGAAGGAGCTGTGTTGTAATTCAGGGAACAGGATTATGGAATTGTCTTGATATCACAATAAACATTTCTAAAACAATTTATATGTTTAAAAAGATGATTAAGTTAAAGTTGTTGGGAAAGTATAGTACCAGATGAAGGATACCTGAAGATTTTTTGTTTTCAGTTTGGAGATTGTTCAAGTCAAAGTTGTTGTTTGTTTGTAGTTATTTTGTATTTTTTAAATTAGGGGCAGATAAGAATTTTTTTTCTTCTTTCTGCAACCTTTTCATTCAATGTTTTTTTTTCTGATGAATTTGTTTTATTTTAAATTAATGAATAAATGATAAAAACAAACAACAACAAAAAGACATGCAGCAGCGCTGGGGGTGTTTCAGGGACACGTTGGCTCAAACTTTATTGTGCTTCATCTTGTGACTCATCATATTCTGTCCAGTGGAACAAGTTAGATGTTCCAACCGCGAGTTAGAACGAGTCTCCGTCACATTTTGCAGCACACTGACTGAAACCTGCAGTTTATCGGATCTTAGAAAGCCGAACCACTTCCAAACCAGCAAATTAGTCTTTTCTCTCTTATCAGTGATGTCATCTGCTTTCTCTCTTATCAGTGATGTCATCTGCTTTCTCTTCACTTGTGAAAGCTTGTTCAGTCACATTCTGGCGATCATGGGCACTCATTTTGAAGAGAAAACTTAATGCGCGTTGGAGATTAGCCTAGCTTAGCCTGCTACCACTAACGCCTTCTGGACTGGAGCTCTGCGTAACATTACGTCACCACTCACTTACGTAGTTGTGTCGCACCTTTTTCTGTCCAGGTTGAAACTGAAGTGGCCGCTTTAACCCGAACAGAAAAAGAAATGCCTCAGTGAAACGCTGTAATCCTATCGAAATATTGAAAATGTGCATAAAATTCATATCATCGTTATTGAATAAAAGTATATCGTGAGATATATCGATATCGAATTATTGTCCAGCTCTACTCTAAATTATAGCAAAGGTGTGTCTCAGTCAAACTTTTCCTTAATAAATGCGCTTTGACGGTCAAATCAGCTGCATTTCGCCTGAGCGTTGTGGCGAAATTAAGCTGATTTGATGTTTGCTCCAGGAGTTCTGGAGCGAGACGAAGGTGGCTTGGTATGGCAAGCCAAGTGTCTCATTAATAGCCACTTTTATCTATTAATGAGACATTTGGCTTGCCATATTATTTGAGTGCCCTCTAGTGGCTAAAAATGGTAGTGTTCAATATTTTCCATGTCAGAATGAATGAAATCGTCAGATCTCAGCCAAAAATTGGGTTAAATATGGGAAAAAGACAACCATAAATAAGTTACTTCGGCATATAAGTCACAGGTTATGCAAATTAGGCAAAATGGTGCAACTTATACGCCGGAAAATATGGTATATGTTCAGTTACACAAAACCTTTATGGGATCAGTCTTACAGGATGTTGTCCTGGTGGAACACGGTGCAGCCAGCGAGTTAATAATTGGGACCGTTTGATGATTGGAAGTTTATTGTTTATCTTTTTTTTGTATAATACCAGCATGGTGGACTTTATCTCTTGTATTGTTTAGTTTTGAGGTTAAACACTCCTGCTTGCCATCATCAGGTGGAAGTAGCTAAAGCCTGGAGGATCAATCCATCAGAGCCCATCGTTATCCACCTGCACTTCTCCCTGTCTCAGTATCTGCACGGACCTGGTGAGAGCAGCAACATTTCTGCAGACAGAACTCTCAGTAAACCAACGACAGTGAACTGAATGATATTTCCCCCTACAGCTCCCTCGGTTGAAGTCTTTCAGCCATCCAATATGGATCATTTCAGTTTAGGGAGACAACTGCAGCAGTGAGTGTTCACACGACAACTTTAATGACAAACAGACACAACAGAACTCATCTGGATCAACATGCTCCTCAGAATCCTTACAGCCTTTATAGCTCAAGAATGGAAACATCGGATGAACGAGGACGCTGAGGTCCAACCAAAGAGCCAACACAGCTGGTTCAGGCCAAGTGGAACCATCAAGAAGTTTAGTGCACGACTCAGCATACGGCTGCCACTTACAAGGTACAATTAATAAAGCTTTCTCCTGATGACTGCATGAATTTGCTTCGTTAATGCTTCTTTTCACCTCATATTTACTGAGAACAGGCCAAATGAGACCCAGGATCCAGCTGTTAGAGGAATAAAAAACGTACCAGCTGTGAAACAAAAATGTTTCCCAACTCTGACAACTTCCTACGCCATCAAGAATCCGGCTGGAGAACTTTTTACATACACAGCCGATGGAAAGGTTTGGACTGTTTTAAGCAAAAAAGATTAGCTGGTTCATTTTGTTTTGAAACTAAATACATAATTTAGAATTTATTTGGCATGACAGCAGTGACTGAAGCTGTGAAAGTAACCGAACGTTTGCTCTTGGATTCTCAGAGAGTGAGAGTGAGAGCTGTGAAATCATCCGTCCAGCTGAGCTCCAAGCAGCTGGTGGAGCTGCTGTTCACCTCTCAGGCCATCAGACACTGCAGACGTTCTCCAGCTCGGCAGCACGGCTTCCTGGTGCAGGTATGAAGATGAAGTGAACAAAACATTTTAAATAATGTTTTTTTTTCTTTGTGTATTACCAGTTTTACACATTCAGGACAGGGATTTAATCAAAGTGAAAATGTGATGCTATGCTGGCAGTAAATCAGCTTTTTACAAAGTGACATACATTTAATGGTAGTAAATTATATCATATTTGGACTATAGTCAATTAAATCCATTTTTTTTAAAGATATTGTGGGGTCTAACAACCCACAAACTTTATTTACGGGGGGGGGGGGGGGGGGACACATGCAGCAGGTCTGGATTTAAACAGGCATTGACCAACATGTAGTTTTAGATGTTAAAGATGAAACCATTTGTCAAAAGCTGAAGAGCAGCCGTGGTGGAGCTGGAGGCGTGGTTCTCGGGGTAGCAAAGGTGGGGTGTGAGGTTCCAGCAGGTGGACGGAGTCTGTCGTCTCAGGAAAAGTTTACTTGTAGACTTTACACAATCAGGTTCTTTGTCTACACAAATTAGATTAAACAACATTTAGGTGCTCTTTGTCAGCACCTTCATTTTTCCCAGATTCAGTAACAACTCACAAAAATTTGTACTCTCTTGCATGCACACACACACACACACACACACACACACACACACACACACACACACAGACATTTGTCTTTCTATCTTTTCCTAGACTTTGCATTGACTTCCATTAATTTTTCATTCATTTCTATAGCCTAACTCTGACCTTTACCCTAAACCTGACCCATCAAGGGCACTTCTTCTTATGGGGCCTGGGCTTTGTGTCCATAAGAAGCAGTTAGTTGGTCCACACAATGTAGTATGAGTTGAAAAACGGGCCTTACAAGGTATCAAATACTAACACACACAGAGAGAGAGTACAGATTTACCTTTATGATATAATTTTTCCCAAAAGGTTTGTGATGCCCCTCCCTGGGCTGCCACCTTACCATGGTGGAGGGGTTTGAGTGTCCCAATGACCCTAGAAGCTATGCTGTCAGGGGCTTTACGCCCCTAGTAGGGTCATCCATGGCAGACAGGTCCTAGGTGAGGGACCAGACAAAGTGCAGCCCAAAAACCCAGATGATGAGAAAAATAAACAGACCTAATGTTCCCTTGCCTGGACGTGGGTCACCGGGGCCCCACTCTGGAGCCAGGCCTGGAGGTGAGACACGCGGGTGAGCGCCTGGTGGCCGGGCTTTTACCCATAGAGCTCGGCCGGGCACAGCCCGAAGAGGAGACGTGGGTCCCCCTTCCCATGGGCTCACCACATGTGGGAGGGGCCAAAGGGGTTGGGTGCAATGTGGGATGGGTGGTGGCCGAGGGCGGGGACCCTGGCGGTCTGATCCTCAGCTACAGAAGCTGACTATTGGGACGTGGAATGTCACCTCACTGGTGGGGAAGGAGCCTGAGCTGGTGTGTGAGGCTGAGAGGTTCCGGCTAGAAATAGTCGGACTCACCTCTACGCATGGCTCTGGCTCTGGAACTAGTTTGCTTGAGAGGGGCTGGATACTCTTCCACTCTGGAGTTGCCCGTGGTGAGAGGCGCCGAGCAGGAGTGGGCATACTTATTGCCCCCCAACTTGGTGCCTGTGTGTTGGGGTTCACCCCGGTAAATGAGAGGGTGGCCTCCCTCCGCATACGTGTGGGGGGACGGGTTCTGACTGTCATTTGTGCTTATGCACCAAACGGCAGTTCAGATTATCCACCCTTTCTGGAGTCCTTGGAGGGGGTACTGGAAAGTGCACCTCCTGGGGACTCCCTTGTTCTGCTGGGGGACTTCAATGCTCATGTGGGCAATGACAGTGAGACCTGGAGGGGTGTGGTTGGGAGGAACGGCCCCCCTGATCTGAACCAGAGTGGTGTTCTGTTGTTGGACTTCTGTGCTCGTCATGGATTGTCAATAACAAACACCTTGTTCAGGCATAAGGTGTCCATATGTGCTCTTGGCACCAGGACACCCTAGGCCGCAGTTCGATGATCGACTTTGTCATCGTCTCATCTGATCTGCGGCCACGTCTTGGACACTCGGGTGAAGAGAGGGGCGGAGCTGTCCACTGATCACTACCTGGTGGTGAGTTGGCTCCGATGGTGGGGGAGGATACCGGTCAGACCTGGCAGACCCAAACGTATTGTGAGGGTTTGCTGGGAATGTCTGGCAGAGTCTCTGGTGAGACAGAGTTTTAACTCCCACCTCCGGGAGAACTTCCAACCCTCGAACCCGATGGTGGACACCGTCGGTGAGGGATGCTGTCAGGCTGAAGAAGGAGTCCTATCGGGCCTTTTTGGCCTGTGGGACCCCGGAAGCAGCTGATGGGTACCGGCAGTCCAAGCAACATGTGGCTCGGGTGGTCGCTGAGGCAAAAACTCGGGCATGGGAGGAGTTCGGAGAGGCCGTGGAAAATGACTTCCGCACGGCTTCGAGGCGATTCTGGTCCACCATCCGGCGTCTCAGGGGGGAAAGCGGTACGCCACCAACACTGTTTATAGTGGGAGTGGTGTGCTGCTGACCTCAACTCGAGATGCTGTGGGTCGGTGGGCGGAATACTTTGAAGACCTCCTCAATCCCACCGGCACGTCTTCCACTGAGGAAGCGGAGCCTGGGGACTCTGGGTCGGGCCCTCCAATCTCTGGTGCTTAGGTCACCGAGGTGGTTATAAAGCTCCTCGGTGGCAGGGCCCCAGGGGTGGATGAGATTCGCCCGGAGTTCCTTAAGGCTCTGGATGTTGTAGGGTTGTGTTGGCTTACGCGACTCTGCAATATTGCGTGGACATCGGGGAAAGTTCCCCTGGATTGGCAGACCGGGGTGGTGGTCCCCCTATTCAAAAAGGGGGACCGTAGAGTGTGTTCCAACTACAGGGGAATCACGCTCTTAAGCTTCCCTGGTAAGGTCTACTCGGGGGTTCTGGAGAGGAGGGTCTGTCGGATAGTCGAACCTCGGATTCAGGAGGAGCAGTGTGGTTTTCGTCCTGGCCGTGGAACACTGGACCAGCTCTACACTCTCAACAGGGTCCTGGAGGGTGCGTGGGAGTTTGCCCAACCGGTCTACATGTGCTTTGTGGACTTGGAGAAGGCGTTCGACCGCGTCCCTCGGGGAACCCTGTGGGGGGTACTCTGGGAGTATGGGGGTACCGGGCCCTTTGATACGGGCTGTTAGGTCCCTGTATGACCGGTGTCAGAGCCTGGTCCGCATCGCCGGCAGTAAGTCGGGCTTGTTCCCGGTGAGAGTTGGACTCCGCCAAGGTTGCCCTTTGTCACGATTCTGTTCATAACTTTTTTGGACAGAATTTCTAGGTGCAGCCAAGGTGTTGAGGGGATCTGTTTTGGTGGCCTTAGGATTGCGTCTCTGCTTTTTGCAGATGATGTGGTCTTATTGGCTTCATCAGATCATGATCTACAGCTTTCGCTGGAGCGGTTCACAGCTGAATGCGACGCGGCCGGGATGAAGATCAGTTCCTCCAAATCTGAGGCCATGGTCTTGAGCCGGAAAAAGGTAAAGTGCCCTCTCCGGGTCAGGGAGGAGGCCCTACCCCAAGTGGAGGAGTTTAAGTATCTTGGGGTCTTGTTCACGAATGAGGGAAAAATAGAGCGTGAGATCGATAGGCGGATAGGTGCAGCGTCAGCAGTGAAGCAGGCGCTGTACAGGTCTGTCGTGGTGAAGAGAGAGCTGAGTCAAAAGGCGAAGCTCTCAATTTACCGATCGATCTACGTTCCTACCCTCATCTATGGTCACGAGTTTTGGGTTGTGACCGAAAGAATGAGATCTCGGATACAAGCGGCCGAAATGAGTTTTCTCCGCAGGGTGTCTGGGCTCTCCCTTAGAGATAGGGTGAGAAGCTCAATCATCCGGGAGAGACTCAGAGTAGAGCCGCTGCTTCTCCACGTCGAGAGGAGCCAGTTGAGGTGGCTTGGGCATCTGTTTAGGATGCCTTCTGGACGCCTCCCTGGTGAGGTGTTCCGGACACGTCCCACCGGAAGGAGGCCCAGAGGAAGACCCAGGACACGCTGGAGGGACTATGTTTCTCGGCTGGCCTGGGAACGCCTCGGGATTCTCCCGGAAGAGCTGGCCCAAGTGGCTGGGGAGAGGGAAGTCTGGGCCTCCCTACTTAGGCTGCTACCCCTGCCACCCGACCCCAGATAAGCGGAAGAAAATGGATGGATGGATGGATGGATGGATGGAGATTTGTGATGCATTTGACATTAAATATTTTTAACAAAAGAGGTACTTTGTGTCTAATTCATGAATAGAGCAGGTTTTAAATACATTTTCACAAGAGGACAAAATTAAAAACCTGATTCTGTTTGAGAGCCAACTTCGGTTAAGATTTTGTTTTTGAAAAAGGAATACATCAATTTTACATGTGAATTTTTACATTTGTTAGCCTGTCTGAGTCTTGGAGACTCACAACTCTCGAGCTGAGCTTCAGGAGGACTAAAGCACCATTTGGTGGACAAGATATCTTAAAATAGTCTGTCACTGTGAAATGTCCTGGTCCAGTTGTTGGATGAAACCATTCTGAAACTCTAAAAGGGTGTGTGCAAACTCTGAACTGGTGACAAAGTCCATGCTCAATAATCCAGGTATACAATCCAACAATTTTCAGTCAGGTCATCTGAAAATTGTTGGATTGTATACCTGGATTATTGAGCATGGACTTTGTTGGTTTTTAACCAGTTTGACATGACTGTCGACGAGGAAGAGGGCCGGCACTGGAGGAGGAGAGACCATCTTAGCACCAACATAACTGGTTTGTTCCACTTTGGAGTAAGCTGTTTGAGGGAAGAATCAGTTTTGTGTTGTGTGTTTCCTTGACTGATGATGCCTTCTGGATGGAAGGTGAAACGTTTCAGCACAAAAAAAGAAACTGTCCAGATGACCTGACTGATAAATGTTTGATCTAAACTGGTGAGTTAAGATTAACACTCCAGTTGTGTAATGATGATACTGCTGATCAGCAATCTTGTCAAGATTTAGCAGAACGTTAGATCCAAAAATGTAGATTGGCACAAGGAGCTCAACAACAAATCTGTAATTTTATTTAAATTTAAAAAAGGTTGTTGTGGCAGAAAAAAAACTTACAAGGCACAGGGGAGCACAAGGAGACTTAGAGGCACAAAGAGAACTAGACAAGGCATCAAACGTAATCATGCTCAAGTGGTGAAGGAAAACTGACAATTAGGTCTGTCGTGATAAACAATAAATCAATTAATGCATGATAAATGAAAATTATCGACCTCATTTTCATTTATTGGCTTTATCCAACATTTTTCAGTCAGGTCATCTGGACAGTTTCTTTTTTTTTTGTGCTGAAACGTTTCACCTTCGGTCCGGAAGGCTTCATCAGTCAAGGAAACACACAACAAAACTGATTCTTCCCCCAACAGCTTACTCCAAAGTGGAACAAACCAGTTCTGCTTGTGATAAGATGGTCTCTGGATTATTGAGCATGGACTTTTTGTTGTTTTCAACCAGTTTGACAAGACTGTCAACAAGGAAGAGGGCCGGCAATGGAGGAGGGGGCGTACCAAAGAGACCATCTTATCACAAGCAGAACTGGTTTGTTCCACTTTGGAGTAAGCTGTTGGGGGAAGAATCAGTTTTATTGTGTGTTTCCTTGACTGATTAAGCTTTCTGGACTGAAGGTGAAACATTTCAGCACAACAACAAAAAAAAAGAAACTGTCCAGATGACCTGACTGAAAAATGTTGGATTGTATACCTGGATTATTGAGCATGGACTTTGTTGTTATCGGCTTTATTGTTTCTTCGTGTCTTTTTTCTTTCTACTGAAGACACTGGATGACAAAAAGCTCAGCTCCAGTGTTCTTCAATGACCCCTCCCTTTCTCTTTTCTCTTTAAAATCTGTTTTAACCATCCAAAATCACGTTTTTTGATTGTTAAAAGCAGCTAAACTGAGAAGCTAAGCTACGAGCTAAGCTAACAGGCTGCCAAGAGAAGCTGAGAACTTGTTTACTGATTTTTTTATTAAAAGCTTTGTGTGAAAATGCTATGCTAAAGAGCTCAAACCACACTGAGCGTCCGCCATTTTGAGAACTGAGGAGAGACAGCCCGTGTCACTTAAAGGGGCCTCCCTGCCATTTTTCTTAAAGAAACACGCTGCTTGCTCCCTCTCTGTCATCCTTCGGTTCAAACAGTCTTATACTGTCATCTGGTGATCGAAAAAAAGGTACTACACTCAAAATTAAAAAAACTAACCAACATTTCATCTTAAATTTGACAATAATTAGTAATTATTGTCATATTTCAATCAATATTATCGTTTATTGCAATAATTTCAGAGACAATTAATCACCCAGCGAAATTGGTTATCGTGACAGGCCTAGTGACAATATATGGACGGGGCTGATGAGGAAGTGGAGACACCTGGGCTACAGACTGACACGAGAGTGAGCAGAGCTGAAGCAGAGGAGTAGACCTGACCGACAGCATAAATGACTAAACAAATGAAAGCACAAGGAGCCAGCTGAACATACAGAAAAATACAGAAACTTAACACCATAAGACACAAACAGAAAACTACACACTGAAGAACACCGATCCTGACAAAATTACATCAATTAGCATACAAATGTGGTGTCAGCTGCCACTCTGTGCCCTCACCTGGAACCACCACTGCACAGTACTGTAGGATTATACCACCAAAACTTGAAGAAAACAAACAAACGTCTGATTAATTAGTGTAGGAAATGGAGGAAACAGTATTATTTGTGATGAGAATATCTCTGGTTCAGTTCAGTTGTGACACAACAATGAAATAAAAAAGTTACAGAACAGGAGTGTCACATTGCACTGAAAGTGGGTTGATTTGAAATCAACACTAATGATTTTTTTTTTATTGCACACATTTACTCTTAAAATGTTTGCTTTGAATGGAAAAATAAATATACAAATAAATAATTTGTAAGACATTGACACATCACTGTGTTGTGCTCCAGGGTAGAATCTCAGCCACCAGAAGGCTCGACCATTGATATACATTCATATACAACATGTGGACTTCTTCCCTCTTATGAAGGCTTAACTTTGTTAGATCCCCCCTCTTATATTTGTACTCTGATCGTACAGAGAGGTGCTGGCTCTTACTCCATTCACAAGACTATTTGATGCTTTCTGTTCTGCTGCCTGACTGAATTGGATAAAAAGGCTTTTGTCCATTCTGCACCTTCTACATGAACTAATCTGCAGAAAGACCTGAAACTAACAGAGTTGGAGTTTTGTTGTCTTGACTGTGACGTGGTAACTATGTTTTGTATTTGCTGCTGCCTATCTTCACCATCTCCCTTAAACAAAAGATTTTGTTTTACTGGTAAATTCATTGGCACTTTCCTGGTTAAATAAATGTTAAAAAAAATGAATACAGCAAAAAGGAAATTCAGCAGAATTGTATCTGCTGTGTCTTGATAAAAACCACCAGAATAGTAAAACTCTGTTTTTGTTTGTTCTGGCACAGATAATGAAGTACGCCGAGCAGAGAATCCCAACGTTGAATGAATTTTGTGTTGTCTGCGATGAGCGACACGTCTTCCAAAACAGCCCCATGCTGAAGGTAAAACCACCTGATCAGCAGGAGGACACTCATAAACGTAGATGTCTGATAAAACACAGTGTGTGTGTGTGTATGTTTGCAGACAGCAGTTTGCAGCAGAGAGCTGTGTGTGTTTTCATTCCATACTCTGGGTGTGATGTCTGGAGCTACAGAGGAGGTTGCAACCGGAGCAGAGGTCACTTCCCCTTCTCACATGTGCTTTTAGTGATTACAGAGGAGTTCAGAGTTGTAGTGATCTCTGCTCTCGCAGGTGATCGACCTGCTGGTCGCCATGTGCAGATCTGCCTTTCAGTCATCACGAAAAAGCATTGTGTTTGAACCGTACCCCTCTGTCGTTGATCCACTCAACCCCAGAACTCTGGCTTTTAGCCCAAAGGTATCTGCTGAACGCTATTACTGAGCTGATTTGTAACAAATATGTTAATGTTGTATAAACATTATTTTATTTATTTTTTACAGAAAAAAAGCTACGAGCGGCTGCAGAGAGCTCTGGATGGTGTCTTGTTAATCAGACGGATGGCACAGGTTTAAAAATAAAGCATGACATCTGATTTTTCTGTTTACGGATAAGTTGAAATCCTCTCCTGACAGCCACGTTTGTTTGGATTTGATTCCTCTGTCATTTCCAGGGCCCTCATTCTGAGATAAAGAGGCAGATGGATAAGATAGACCCTCTTGCTCATCCTTTACTACAATGGTAAGAGACTAAATCCAGTTAGACATAAGATTTGTGTTTTTGTGTAACGTTCTAAATGTCTATTTAAACTAATGTCCAGACGTGTTTGCATTTTCAAAACAGGATTTTAGCGAGCAACAGATCACACATAGTCAAGCTTCCACTGAACAAGGTATGTTGGAGAATCCAAAAAATAATCTTATTTTTGTGTTTGTTTAAATTCTGCTCATGTTTTTCTGAATTTCTTCTTTTCTATCACTTATCTGTCAAAAATCTTACACCTCAAAATCTTTAACATGATGCCCTGTCCAATAAATTTAACAATCATTCTGTCATTGAACGTGGTTTTATATATATATATATATATATATATATATATATATATATATATATATATATAT